TTAACGTCTACGACGAGGGGCAAGCTTCTCGCGTAACTTCCATCTTCGGCGACGTCTTTCTCCGCATTCGAACGGGAAGAATGGTAGAAACTCTCGATAACACGGTGAGAAAATATTTTTCGAAACCCGCCGGGGTTTATTCCAACGATCCTTTCTCCTCATCCTCTACGTTCTCCACTTCGCTAGTCGGATCGTAACTTTCCTCATTTCCTTCGTCGTCGGCTACCGCTTCGAAATAATGTCCCCTACCTTCTTGATTAACTTCTTGATTTTCTTACGGGAATTCCCTCGAAAGAGGAAGATGCTCGAAGAGAGAAGTTCTTCGGTGAAGGGACGACGATTTCTCGTCAGGGATGGATTGAAAAATAACAAATAAATATCGAAATATTGAATAGAAGGATCGAAAGGAAATATCGAAAATAATGAAAACATTGAATTGCCCTTGGAAATCAATATTATTTATTTATTCGTACTGTAACTTTGAAGCTTCACTTCATAGTATAATGATCTTTTTTTTTCTTTTTTCTTTTCTTTTTACGTGGAGAAAATCTTCATGAGTGTCTTTTAAGGGAAGGCCCAGGTAGTGTCGAATTTTTACCGACTAAAACCTCCACGATGGCCGTTGTCCTAAAGGACAATGTCTTTTTTTTTTTTCGCCCGAACGGGGGGCCCCGAACCCTGTACCCTCAGATTAAGAGTCTGATGATTTACCGACTGAGTTATCCCAACCTACGCTATTGAATTAGCTTAAATCAACTTTTATTAAACATTACGTCTAAATTAGATGTAATATTTCTTATTGCCAGTAATAGTGCATTACTTGTTATATTTTAATTTGTAGAGTTACTTGACGTTCCGAAGAAAATTAATATAGAATAACATTTATATTAAAATTAAAATAGACGAAAGAGAGCGGTGATAGATTAAAAAGAAAAACACTATTATATCTGATTGATCGTAATGGGATTAACGCGTGCGAGTAATCCTTCTATTATGTAATCGAATCATTCTCCATTTCCGTATCTACATGTAGATATATAAATATTCCATTTACTGTTGTGTATGTAGAAACGGCACGAAGGTTGAACAGATTGATTCGATGATCTTAATCAACTTGCTACTCCGGTGCATACAGTATAAAATAGCTCGAACAAAGTTCTGTTATATTCTCTAGTTGTTGCAGTATTAAACAATATAAAAAAAAAAAAAAAAAAATGGAAGAAGATCGACAATTTCTGTAAAACGATGTAAAAAGATAATTAACAATATGAATTCTAAATTTAACGAGTTTTAATGATTTTCTTAGACGCGTAATAGTTAAATAATATTTTTTATACAGATAAACACTTTTTTTATTGAAAATACAAGAGTCTGATGCTTTACCGACTGAGCTATCCCCACCTACAGACCCAAACCTAAACATCGTGAGTTACATTTCTTCTCTGTTAAACAGGGGAAGGTATTTCAGAAAGTTAACCAGATCATATTTTTAATGATTTTTCGACGATTTTTCGTAAATACCGACTGAG